TCAGCGCGATCACAACTCGGTCTCGCGCTCCGCCGCGCCCACGTCGAAGGTGCACGGCAGGCGCTCGCCGCTGGGCGTCTCCGTCAGCAGCTCCTCCGAGGGCAGCACGCCGGCCGAGCGCATGTCGTCGCGCACCTGCGCACACGCCACGCAACGCCTCAGTTGAGAGCGTAGGCTTCCGCGGCCGGAGTCAGTATTTACTAGGCTGTCCGGGTGACCCGGACAGCCTAGTAAATACAAACGCCTCAGTTGATTGGTCACTCCTGATCAAGAGCGCGCAACCCCTAAGGTAATTAGTTCCGTAAGTGTAGGACGTGTGTTTCGGCGGGAGCTGGCTGTCGTCTAGCCCCGCTGGATGGCGAAGACCTACCGTCGGCGAGAGGGGTTTCCCCCAAACCAGATATCTCCCACCAGCGGGGTGCCGTTCTAGGCGGGACAAGCCCTAAGCTCCCAACATGTGTGGCAATGTAGTGCATGTTAGTGTCTGTGTGTGTAAGAAAGGGGTAGTGTGTGTAAGATAGGACCGCTCCCTGATGTGAATGCCTCGCATCTACAAAATGGTCACTCTGAGAAGAAAAATAACATTTTCACACGTAATTTATATATACACGGTGGTTCCGAATAAATAACAAGCTTTTGACGGCGAAGCTTTTTTCAGCAATCGACAGCTCTATCGATCTTCCGCACATGCGCAGTTCCAGTTTCGCATCACTTTTGTGTATCTGCGCATGCACAGAATATCGATTGATTGATTAGTGATTCAGGGTGCGTCAAGTGCTAAGGTCTTTAGTCCCCTATGTTTAGTGCCCATTTTATGGAGGAGTGAGGTGGCTATTTTTCCTCGCTGGATGGCGAGATCCGGCGCGGACCTACCCATCGTCTTGCAAAGTTTTTCCAGTTATCTCCCACTGGCGGAGCACCGTTCCAGCCGGGGACTAAGCTCCTCACTGGTCTCTTGGCATGAGTGGAGAGGTAGGAAAGATAATGCAGTCCAGAGCCCGTTTGTTCTGCCAAGGCATTCGTCTGCTACTGATCGAAAAAACTGCAGAAAACTACGAATTAGAGCAGGTGGTCGCTAAAATTCTTCTCCAGACAGCGGCAAAATATGCCCTAGCGATCTAGCTCTGTCTAAAATCCTGCCACCGTCGGAGCTAGAACCCTAGGATATCCCCTTCAGAGGCACTGCAGTGATATTATTGATGCCCTTAGCCAACTGAGCCGGTCACAGAAGATCGAGATTGCAGTCGAATGCTGTACGCTACGCCGTGCAAACATTTCCTGTTACAATTTTCTATGTAGGGCATGTAGAGGTCGAAGATGGTACATTTTAGTGAATGAAAACGTGGAGTGAACTTTCGTATCAAGATGTTACAATGTAAATTTCCCGAGTCTGTGCTTCTAATTGGTAGGGAATTCGTGCTGCATAGGTGTTTATCAGGTGTACTAAGTCCATCACCTGCAGATATGACAATACTTTTTGGGGGGAGGAAGGTTCATTGTTCACCTTTGCCAACGAAAACTTGCCGAAGTGACGGCTATGAGATTGGATGTATGCGTATACATCCGGCGATGAATGTTCTACTGCAGTCAGACCCGAGTGACAAAGACAAATAGTTTGATAGTGTTATTGCAAGTGGGTAGATCATCCCTTAAAGGCTTCCACACAGCAGTGCAGGACGCACTGCATAAAAATCAGAGCGTCATAGTTTGAGAAATGGCGCATGTGGAAATTATTCATTGCCGCGAGACTTACCACAATATTTACTGAAACATTTCCCTGACAAACAGAACATGTATATGTAACATGTATTCTGACTAACGTATTTACTTATGCTGTTTGTTGCTACATCCTTCATTGCGAAAATACTGAAGAGTGAATATCATTTGCGAAACTTGCGAAACTTCATTGCGAAAATACTATTTAAGCACAAAGCTTTTATTTATTTGTATAAGAGTGAATATCATTTGCGAAACTTGCGAAACTTCATTGCGAAAATACTATTTAAGCACAAAACTTTTTATTTATTTGTACAAGAGTGAATATCAGTTTCTAGAAGAAAGTTTTTTTTCCTTACACATGCAGTTATGGAGTGTTGTTTCTTAAACGACGAATCCAAATTGATTCGTGGGCAAGAATAGTGACACGTCCAAAAAATGTCATACTACAGGACAGTGGTTTTATCCTGAGCGGTGCTGTTTATTTCGAAGCCAAATGCAAAGTGCACAACTTTTGTACACCGATTGTCTTAAGAACTATATGACATTTTTGCTACTAATCTTTAACTATTTTCCAATAAATGTTTCTTTACTTACGTAGAACATGACGATTTTTGTGTCGCTTTTTTTGTGCATCGGTGTATTGGTCACTTCGTAATGTCTAGCTTTTATCTTATCATTCCCACAGTTATAAAAATCATAATAATAATAATAATAATAGTAATCGTAATTGTAATTACATATTATAAATAGTTGAGGTATTCTTCAATATTCATTAATAATATATTTTAAAAATTATTTTTTAAGCTACCATTTTAAAAATAGGAGTCATTATGTTTAGTTTTTAGTACAGCCGATTGAAAAGGCAAGTTTGGACACCATGTACACGGAGCACCACTAATTTATGAGTAATTAAGAAAAGTCGTCTTTAGTAATAAGTATCTGAGATTCTCTAAAGACGTTTGTAAATGATAACATAAACGAATACTTTTGGTACCCTGACTCATTTTTATATACTCATAGGCAATATGTACCTACAAGGAGAATAAAAAGTTACTTAGGGCCCGTTATCCATGGAGGATACCATACTCCTGGAAAATGTTTTAAACTGCAAAATAATTGTTTGAGTGAGTTTATGATTCCGAAAAGATCTTCTTTAAAAATTAATTTCAAGAAATTGATAAATGTTAAATTAATATATTGTTTTTAGTAAATCTGGAAGATTAGTTTTTCGGAGGGCCCCCAATAGGACTTTGTGTTTGGGGGCCCCACAGTGCCTAAAACTCTACTCAGAGAAAAATACCTTCTCCACTTTCTTGAAGACGCGCAACAGGTTGAGCCCTGCCACCTTCTTGAGATCTTCCACAGTCCAATGGCCCGTGCGCAGCAACTCAGCAAACAATTCCGGATACATTGACACGTCCTCCAGTCCGTGAGGTGTCCTGTGAAACGAATATTCTCACATTACTTATCAAGCACGAAAAGAATACAAAAGTGACACATTGTTCATAAAACATTCAAATTAATGTGCGAAAGAATCGTAGGGCGGATTCGTTTAGTGAAAAATGTTAACAATTATAGTTGTGAACATATTTACATTGAATTATCAAATAAATAATGGCATAATTGTCAATGGTTTAACAGGTGTTATTTGAGAGCCTTCCATTCTCAAGTATGTAGTGTAATTGTTCGTGGAATCTGGTAATTCTAGAACAAATTTTAAAGAAAATCGTTCATCCCTGAAAGACCAATAAGTAAAATACACAGTGAATAAAGAATATTACAGGAGCTACTGATAAAAAAGAAGCACATGCTTTATTTCCGCTTTAACTAAAAAAAATAATAATAAAATTTTCTTTATTAGTGGCGAGGCTCGGGCCATTAGACCTGCTCTTCCGTATAAACACGTTTAAATATTTATATTATTTCAGATACTATGAAGAAGATAGAGGGAGGCAAAAACTTTAGTTTTACTTCTGGGAGAGCAAACTAGGGACCATCCCACCATACGCCTTAAGCGATTGAATAAACCCAGAAAACCTCAATCAGGATGGCAGCTGAAGACCGAGAAAATCTAAAAATATGTACATTAATCAGAAGAAAAAGAATCAATGATAATAAAGAAATGGCAAAATTAAATAACAAAACGTATACAATGAGAACATATGTTGCGTAATGTTAAGTAGTGACACAGTAGCTGCAACAATATGGTAACATAAACAAATTGATACAAAAAACAAAGATTACAATACATTCAATTTCCATATCAGTTTCACCAAATCAAGTAAATGCTATTATATAAAATGTCAAGCGGAATAAAATTTAAAGTTAGCAGATATCACAGAAAAAAGAAATACAATTTATATCACAATAAATAATAGAAGTATATAAAGTATACATAGTATATAAAGATTACACAATTTAAGATAACTAAAAACAATCGTTGATTTCTGACCACTGAGTCCAAAACGGTGAAATAGACATTAAATTGAAATTATGGGTTTTGAGAAAGACCTTTAAGAAATAACGGTTTTCCACAAATCAAAAATTCCAAATGAATGTGCATGTTCAAAATTATTTTTAGGATTATTTTGAGTCAATTAAAATATAAAAGTAATAGTAAAAGATATAATAACTACTAATATATATATATATATATAT